TAGTATTATATCTACTTAAATACCACTTTACATGGTCACAGTACATCACATTTAAAGAAAACACGAGGCTCAAAGTGAATCTCTTTTCCATCTACATTCTCAACATAGGTTCTGTCAGAAGTGTTTGGTATGTGTTGGATCCGACTTGGCCCGGGCTGCCAAAATCAACTTTAAACTCACAGATGTATCCTCAAATGTGTTATATCTACCTATATACCACTTTATAGTGTCAACTTTATACACACAGGGTGTCGCCCGATATATTTAGTAGGGCTGTTAAGATTCATTCGCGTATTCGGTGAATCGAACCGTATCCATTCATGAATTGAATTCGTTATTCGTGGCCACTAGAATCAAATATTTATGAATATGCAAGCATGTGCATTTACATAAAAATACCCATAAGAACATATTATATGCATAGATTTCTTCAAAAGACAACACTCTTATACTATTTAATTTGACAATATAGTGGTCACTGGTCATTGTTGCATTTAGGCAGATACTAGTACCTGGATAAGTGCAGTATATAAATGTAGAATATATTAACAATTAACAAACCGTGTCAAATAATTTATGTTGTTATTGCTTCACTGAATATAACAAATTATACATCAGCTTCTGACTTTTTATTGTATTCCTGAATTAATATTCGTATTCGTTATCCTATATTCGTGCTAGTGTATTCGTTGCAGCCCTAATATTTAGGGTTAGTTGCCAAGAGTTATCTCTGTTTCATTTTATGGACGTTTTATCTCTCAGTCTTACTCCTGGTTGTCTTACCAGCAGTATCTCGTGCACAAACCTGATTGGTGACGTGGACACTTTCAAATGCCACTTTTTGTCAAGCCATTGTCGAGGGAAGACATTTTCTCTCTACATTCACAACATAGTCTCTATAAGAAGTGTTTGGTATGTGTTTGGCCCGACTTGGCCCGAGCTGTCAAAATCAACTTTAGACTCACAGATGGATCATCAAATGTGTTTACATCTATGAACTAGCATTATATCTACCTAAATACAACTTTATAGTGTCACAGATCTCAGTATTTAAAGAAAACACGGTTCTCAAAGTGAAGCTCTTCTTCCTCTAGGAACAACATATTCTCTGTCAGAAGTGTTTGGTAGGTGTTGGGACTGACTTGGCCCAGGCTCTCAAAATCAACTTTAACCTCACAGATGTATCATCAAATGTGTTTACATCTATAGACTGTCATTATATCTACCTATATACCACTTTATAGTGTCCAGAAAAACCGTAAAAATAACAGCCAACATGACTTACTGTCAAGCCCCACAAAATGTCCCTGACCGTTTCCAAGACAGACTCACGTTCTCGGGAACTAGAAAAAAAAGATTATAGTGCCCTATGGGCTCAAGGCATGCTTAAACGAAAACAACCTCAATCTCGCCCACCCAAGTCTAAAAACGAACAGAAAGACAAAGAATGGTCTCATCAGAGTCGAAGATTCAACAGAATAGAAGACCGTAATATAAACCAAATAGGAAAAGTAGTTTTTAGCTCAGACTTCTCCCAAGATCTTATTAAGATCCTAACAGCTCAAAATATTGCCATAGAGCTGAAGCACAAAAATATTTCCAGAATAAATAAGTGTGAAAGGGTTTATGTTACGGAGTCAATTGACATGCCCAAAAGCATAAAATGAGTCATTTAAAATTGGATAATCCAAAGTGGCTTAGTAATAACAGATGTACTGTACATCTAGACAAAAAGATCACTGACGACCAGCTTTATCAACTGGTCTGTGCCGAAATGTCGAAAATGCTTGCTCATCAGCAAACTCATCAATAAAATACACTGCAAAACTCAAGGGGAAAGACCCAAGTCCCCAAATCAAACATCCTTCATTTTAATACTCAAACTGAGGCACACAGCCAACAAATCAGTCAGGCAAAGAAAACTCCAGCTAATGGAAAACAAAAGGCTCAGAACACAAACAAAGTTGTAGAGTTCATTGCCACGGCATTGATCCAAATTACAAGCAGGAAAATGAGTGCCAAAGTCAAAGCCACCTGCATCCTCAAACTGGCTTCCAAAATACTGAAATACAAAGGAACAAAGAAACATTTCTTTAATAGGGTATGCCCTAAAACTCAGTGAGCGCTCATCTAAACAATCATGGACTTGCTTTTATTACAGTGGAACACAAAAGGCCTTAAGAGCCGGGGCAATGAACTGAATGCACTCGTGAAAAAACAGGTGATAAAGCCGCATGTCATCCTAATACAGGAGACTAAACTCAGCGAAAAAGCCAAATTCACACTACCTGCGTACACCCAATATAGGAAAGACATAAAAAGACATGCCTGGCAACAAGGGAGGAGGACTAATCACCCTTGTTCATGACAGCTGTACCTAAAACAATATCGAGTAATATATAGGAAACCTTGAAACCCAAGTAATCTCCATAAAGCTGGCAAATGACAATGAATTACGCATAGCTTACATATACCACAGGGTTACCCATGAAACAAAACAGCTTACGAGACTAGCTCAAATAGAAGGCAAAAATGGGATAATCCTTGGTGACTTTAATGCCCACGGTCCTCTATGGGAAGACGGGAATGATTCATGCAAATACGGAGAAATGGGTTGAAGACGACAATCTCTGAACTCTGAACAACAGCAGTCACACACGTTATGACCAAGTCCACAACATGTGGAGTGCAACTGACCTCACAATTGCCACCAACAACCTCGCCTCACATTGCCAATGGCAAGTCCACGATCACACTTGGGGAAGCGATCACCTTCCTGTACTCACCTACATAGGTAGTCCACCACAATTAGAGGAACGGCCCAATCCTCAGCCCACATGCGACAATGCAAAGGCTGATTGGCCTAAATTTAGGAAGGAATGTATGTCATTCAAATCCTCAGAAATTGCCTCGGATAATCCTGATCTTTTTTGCCAAAATCTCACTTAGCACTTATTGCCACAGCTGAAAATCAGTTAAAAAAAGACCACCAAACTGGCAAAACTCCCGTACCGTGATGGAACAGGGAAATAGCAAAAGTTAGGAGAGTGAGAAAGAAAGCCCTAAATAGGTCATAGAGAGATAAATGAGCATCCACCCAAATCTGAGCAGCCGGGACAAAGATAAGACAGCTCATAGACGATTCTAAAAAAGAGTCATGGCAGACCTGCAAATACCTAAAACAGTCTGGAGCAAAATACACCAAATCAGGGGTAAGCATGAACCTACAAAAATTCCCAAGTTGGCCAATGCCCATACAGTCAAAGAGAAAGCCAACATTCTTAGCCGAGGACTTCTCATCTGTCAGCAGTAACAAAAATTGCAGCAAAGAATTCAAACAGGAAAATATGCTTGTAATTAAGATATCAGAACAGCCGCAAAGCAAGCATCTGGTACACAATATACAAGTGGTATTTAGGTAGGTATGATACTAGTCTATATATTAAAATACCTTCCATGAAAAATCTAACACGTGCAAGTTCATTTGATAGCCCGGGTGAATACTTTTGATTCGGACCTTTTTGACAAAATACCGTTAAAGGGCTTCACTTTAACTGACAAGTTCTTTTACTTAAATACGATGAACTGTGAAACTATAAAGTGGTATTTAGGTAGATATAATACCATCCTTTATATGATACATCGATCTGTAAGGTGTAAGTTGATTTTGACAGTACAGTCCAAGTCGGACCAATCACAATGTAGGCCGTGAAGAGTCTATAGAGGAAACAAGGCTTGACTTGGACGAACAAGTTGTTTTAAATACGATTTACTGTGGTCATATAAATGGGTTTGGGGTAGATTAAACATTGTTCTGTACATCCTAACATATTTCAGGATAAATCTGTTTTGTTTTGATTTTCACACCCCGGGCCAAGTCGGAATGAACACTTTTGAGATTCCCATCCGACTGCACCGATATGTGAGTAAATTGGAAATGTTTTCTTTAACTTCCTTGCTTAATGCCGTATATTATGTTATTTCATCTTGGTATGTAGTTCAATACAGATGTTGCAGAGATGGAAATTTGTATCAGGATAGCTGGAAGTATTTGCTACGTTACAAATCTTATTTCGTTTAACGATTCCATTTTACATGGTAGATAGAAAAGATGACGAACGAAGAGCAGCTCCTTAACAATAAATAAACTAAATCACTACGGATTTGTTATTCTTGTTTCTCGAACGTGGGGCAATATTCTTCAATTTGCAAGGGCCATTTCTGCAAGGGGCAATTTTCTACTTCACCCCTAGCTCAGCCATGCTCACAGACAGCCTGATTTCCTGATTTCTAATAACTTAATTGTGCTGTACGTTTGTGGGTTTTTTTTATTGTTCATGAATATCATGTGTGCATTTTTGTCACATACTAAAGGCAGAACTAAAAAAGGTTATCACAGTATAATAATCACACCAACATTTCACACACAAAGTTTAATGGAATAGTGAGCACAGCATTGTTTCAAAGTCTTCTCAATCAAAATAAATCTCTTATGAACATGTTCCTGCCGCCCAAAACAGTGTCGGATTGATCTATAGTATAACAGCCACATACAAAAGTCCTGTTTATGAATGTGTTTAAATCCAAAACGTTGGTGTGTTCTATCTAATCACTATGTATTTCTCGTTCTTTCCTTGTCGTAAAAGGCGACTAACGGGATCGGGTGGTCAGGCTCGCTGACTTGGTCGATGCACCTTATCATATCCCAATTGCGTGGATCGATACTTATGATGTCAATCACAGGATTGTCTGGTCCAGACTCGATTATTTTCAGACCGCCGTCATATGGCTGGAATATTGCCGAGAGCGGTGTTAAACAACAAACAAACATTATAAGTTTCAGTCAATGTGTCAAACATTCTGCCTCATATTTCAATTTTACAAATTGGCTGAACATTTCAGTTATTTTACAATTTGAATGATTTTACACATTGAATGTTGAATTTACACCCTCAAAACTCGTTTGGGTGGGGATTAATTATCAACACAAAAGTCAACCATGAATATAAATCACTTTTATTTTCTTACTTTACAGGCTTGGATTACAGATTTAAAATCAACAGCCGACCTGAGAGTCGAAACTAGTGTGCAACCTCTAAGTAACTGACTCATTTTTCCTTGTTTAAAGAATTATTGAATCACGAAACAGATTACATGAATAGTAATGGTTCTAATGATCTGACAGAGGCCAAAAGTAACAAACCTAAACCTATCATTAATCTTACCATGCTTATGACGACCTTAAAACTTAAAATAAAACACATGCGGGGTAATTCAAATACCCGTAAAGTGATATTCTTATCATTTTACAAAGAATAATTTCAGCAAGGTTTCAATATTGTTTACTTTCTCAGAAAAGGAGGTGAAAAATTGACCCAACTGATAAGGATGTCTGCTGGTATGCCACTGTGCAACTGTCCAAGTACTGGAAGTGCCTAAAGACCATATCAACCAAATTCAATCTACAACTGATATATTAAATCAGTGAAACTGTGAATCATGGACTACAAAGTCGAATGATCAAAGCTACTGTATTAAAAAGCAAATAAAAAAGAAGAGTGTTATAACACGGGTAATTGGTACACTCTGTTGAAGGTATCTTGCCCATTATTTCCCAAATCTAGTTAAAACAGTGGCAATAATGTAATATTCTGCCCATAATAGCAATGTATGACTGCATCAATGAAATGTAACTGCATGGTTGAATTGAGAATATATTAATGGGCACTTTCTTATCTATTTACTGTTAACTTAGCACCCAAACAGATATAATTATTTAATTTCTTTAAAGACAATAATTTTGTTCACATGTAGTTCCAAAACCAAAAAAAAGAAATATCTAAGAAAGAGCTAGCAACAGACCAGCAGACTTCCTCCAATTAAATATATCAGTGTTTTTCTTGAATGAAGTTACTTCTTTCACATTTAAGACTTGAGTAAACTTTGATGTGTATGAAATAGCAGACTTTATTCATTTATCTATTTGAATTGAATCTGTATTCCTCACCACTTGAAATAGAATAGAATAGAAACATTTCGCGAGGATTAATTAACAAAGACAGTTGCATGTGTGCTATTACATATGAAGTGAAAATAAGCCATTTTGCCAATAAAGAATAAAGATTGTAACTACGTTTTTGTCGTTCTTGTCAGTAATATTCCTTATCAGAGGAATAGCTTGTTTTCACTTTATGTGTAAAAGCACACATGCAGTTATCTTCGTTGATTAATGATCACAATATTTCTTTATTCTTTTTCAAGTGATGAAGACTATAGTAAACATGTTTATACTAACAATCAAAACAATAAATACTTCAATGAAAAGGTATATATTATATCAATAGCAGATAAACACCTTAAATAATAATGTCATTATGCTGCACTTTTCACCTCAAGTTGAAATACTATATGGTTGTAACTCAGCTGTCATGTAAATGCAAATGAAACAGTACAAACTAACTTACAAATTGTTACATGAAAAAATAAAAAACAAACACATCATGAGAAAACATCAACTCAGTTATAGCACCATAACATTTTGATTTTCAAGTTACATGACGACCACACAATTATTCTGTCAATTCCAAAACTACAATCACAACACGACCTGTGTATCATGGAGAATGAGAAGAACTCACTTCCATCATTTTGATATAAATTTTCTTGCATCTTTTATCTTTCACAAGATGAGTAAATCTGTAATGTGTATGGATAAGCCCTCTTTGTCATTGAAGAACAGACATAATTACCATGCTCATTCTGGAGCAAATTGAAGAGATCACGTCCATTGGTGCTTCTGAGGTTAATAAAGATCATTAATATTCAAATAGAAGTACAGTCAGACCAATTTAATCAGGTGGAACCCAGCAAATATATTTAGAGACATTTGTCCATAGTTCGGGACAAGTGGAGTGCGATACAAGACCACTGTGGCAGATCCTGCCACGGCCACCACTGACTGACTGAGTATGGTTTTATGCCGCTTTTAGCAAAATTCCAGCAATATCACGGCGGGGGACACCAGAAATGGGCTTCACACATTGTACCCATCAGGAATCTAACCCGGGTCTTCGGCGAGACGAGCGATCGCTTTAACCACTAGGCCCCTGCCATGGCCACAAAGGAACACTGTCTCAAATGAAATGTTGGGTTACTGGAGTTCAATTTAATTAGTTTCCATGGTACATGTGCAATGCTTAACTCTTTGTGATGCATGGTTTTAGTCATGTGAGAATCCAAGTTATTACATTTACTACATCTGCTCTGGGGGAAAGGCTATTGGTTAAAATCAACAAAAACTTTAATATCATATTTAGCCCATGGCAAGCATATGACTAAGTTTTACAAATTTTGACCAGAGTGCAAATTTATCACAAAAGAAGCAATTAAAATATAAGGAAATATGTATTCGGATATTTATCTTAAACATGCTTGTAAAACATCAGGAATTAAAGTTAAAACAAAACTATTATTAAGTACAGGTGTGAGGCAAGCATATTTCAATTGATCATATATTACGTTATTCTTTGCTTCGTCACAGACTCAACTCAACTAAGGACCCGCTCAACAAGAAAATACTGGAAGATTAATACTGAATTAGATGCTATGCATAACAGAATAAATGCTGACCTGAAAGTTCAGCCTGATCTGCATGGTCACCTTCATCAGGTCCGACTCATTGTGACTGTCACAGAGATTCAAGAGCTGACAATGACTAATGCTTGGATTAGTCCATTTAACATCAGGTGTTGACACCACTATGCTCTATTCATGCTAACTCATCATAGATGTGTAAACTAAAATACATAAAACAAGGAATGCTAAACCACATGGGAAATACATCAGAAGAAGTTATTTGTTGGACTTTTGGAAGTGATAAAAATCAGAAAAAGTCGTATTGATAACAGTAAATGGATGGATACAGAAGTAAACACCTTGCCTTGCACTCTCATGATTATCTCTAATAAATGCATTTCAAAGAATTCCATACACTTCATCAAGTTGGATATAATCCCATCTATTTCAAGAAGCTCCTTCTTAATGTGGGTATTGAGTAATACAATAAGCTTCTCATACCATTCTATAGCCGTCACTGAGAACAAACCGCTATGTCTACAGACTGATGTTGACATCACCCTGTATCTTCCATCTGACATGGTAGAGGCGAATGTTCAGGGAGTGTTATCAAGGGAGTCATCACCAAGAAGCAACGCAGAGACAATCACAGAAATGGCACATACATCACAAACACATTGACTGGAATGTTTGTCAGACCCTGTAAAGACATATCTACCCTTCAGTGTGTGAGTGAGTGAGTGAGTGTGTAGGGTTCTATCCCAGAGTATTGCAGTCATGGTCGCCATGCATGGTCTGTACACACAAGGTCTGTGCCTGTTCCATTGGGTGAGGTGATCTCAATAATCTGATCTCTATGATATACATGGTCGAAGAGCACTAAAGTTATTAATCCTGAAGTGGAAGGTTCAGTTCAGAGGAAGAAGTGACACATTGATAATAATGAACCAGGCACATATACACACACTGGAATGGATAACATTGGAATGAATATTCCAGGAGTAATTCTGTAATTGAGGTATTCAGAACAGATGAATCAAATAGCACTACATAATACTACAGAAGGCACTCATATCCTCGGAGACAACAAACATCTAGAGAACAGCTAGATACTCCTGAAGGCTGTCATTACAACAATACTGTACATAACACCAACTGTCCACCTGTTCTGTGGTAATCTCATATCACTTGTGGTCATCTTGAAGCATCCAGAAGCAGTGGCTGCATCCAACAACAGGGTCTCTGCATCCAATGAAAATGTCTCTTGCATCCGATGAGTTTCTCTGCATCCAACGACGATGTCTCTGCATCCAATGACAGTGTCTCTGCATCCAATGACAGTGTCTCTGAATCCAACGACAGTGTCCCTGCATCCAATGACAGTGTCCCTGCATCCAATGACAGTGTCTCTGCATCCAACGACAGTGTCTCTGCATCCAACGACAGTGTCCCTGCATCCAAAGACAGTGTCTCTGCATCCAACGACAGTGACTCTGCATCCAACGACAGTGTCTCTGCATCCAATGACAGTGTCTCTGCATCCAACGACAGTGTCTCTGCATCCAATGACAGTGTCTCTGCATCCATCAACAGCATGCATGAGGCATATCCACTTTATCACATTTTATGGTCACAGCCAAGGTCATTAAGGCATAAAATCATAATGTCTTCACATTAAGAAAGTAAAAAGATTCTTTCATCATATATCTTAAAATAATCTCAGAAAACGAGAATTTCCATTCCCAAGATCACATATTTCAAGAGAGATTCTGTAATCATGCATAGGCATGTGCAATGTTCTGGCACGCCTGGTTGATGACTTTCTGTAGTGATGCACATTTCCGTTCAACATGCAGACACCGCTTCTCTGCTTGTCGATGACGCTCTTCGGTGACCTTCACCTTGCTGACAAGCTGAAGGTTCTCCATGTGCAGATCATTGACCATCATGTTTCTCTCTGATAAAGACTCATACTGGAATGACACAAATTTCAAAGTGAGTAAGTGATTGAATTTGGTTTTGATGAGTTTGAGTTTGGCAATGTTTGCATGCTATATCATGGTGGGGAACACAAGAAATTGACTCTACATAAACTGTACTCATGTGGGGAATCGAACCCAGGCTTTTTCACATGATGCCTTAATCACTTTTCTACCCCATTACCCTGTTTCAAAGACAATATGATCAGGAGTCACATTGCTAAATCAAAAGCCAAGACTTGAAAGCAATCTGATTCACAGTAGTTACCTGTTTTGTCAAGTGTAACTGACTATTCCGATGAGAACCAAGTAGACTTACTGTGGTCATGAGTTTCTCTGCCTGTTCCTTGAAGAGGTTGTGGTAGTACTCCACCTTCGTGTGCAGGTCCTTCTTGTCTGCCTCCAGCTGCTTCACACGCTTCTTGTGCCCCTCCTTCAGGTCTGTACAGTCGAAGAGAGTCAGTGTTATATTAATCCCCATGTAAACAGGTCACTGTTTGTCATCCATGGTGGTCGCTACATGCCCTTCAATGTCTGCTTTTGTTTGGTCACCAATTATTCATTCTGTTTACCTTCTCAAAAGTGACATAGTACCAAAGAAATCCCAAACCATAAAGAACATCTTTTCTGAAATTCCCAATTCAAACATTCAACAGGCAGCTAGACCTTCACAATGAACACAAGTATTTCATGTAAACCTTTCTGAAGTCCATTCACTTGTCTGACCAATACCACACTTCCATAAACTCAAGCATCTCTAGAACAGATTTAACTTTCTTCATGTGTCTGACATTTACCTTCTATAAGGTCAAGTTTCTCCTGTATTGCAGCCTGAAGTTTATACATGTTTCTGACACACACCTACCTTCAATAAGGTCAAGCTTCATGTGTCTGACAGACCCCTACCTTCTATAAGGTCCAGCTTCTCCTGTATTGCTGCCTGAAGTTCATTCATGTGTCTCTGCTGTTCCATGAGCCCCAGTTGAAGATTAGTGAACTGTTCCAGATCCACCATGCTTTTTGTGCGGTCCTTCCATCGACTAATTTCCTGGAGATGTCGTGATTGTGCCACACTCAGGGCTGTGCTCGCCTCCAGTAGCTACAAAGGTAATTTGACATTCCCAACTACAGTCGAACCCTGTTATCTCGAGCATAGCGGGACGTAGCATGAACATCCAGCCAGATCAAGTAACAGTATTATACATGCATAGCAATATGATTGCATATACAATTATTTAACTTGTATTACACATATGAGAAGACAAATCAAAATGTATTGCCCCGGCAAAGATTACTAACAATTGTGACAAGTTATATACAGTGTACATGTACCTTATTTGGCACAGCAGCAATGACTATTTAGTCTGTCCAATTGACAAAAGCGGAAAAGTGCCACTCTTGCTTCAAGCTTGTTATATACATATTGGATAGTGTGAGTAGCGTCAAACAGCTTTTATTCCTTTAAACCGACTTCAGTTAGCACTCTGATACAACCAGGAAGTGTCACCATGTTTTACTCATGTCTACTCACAATGTTTTATTTGTAAACAAAGATTACCATTACAATTGGATTCAAAGATAAGTACATAATCTGTTAAACAAATGGTATTAATTGCACTGTACTTTTACAGTGATGATAGATGTGTTGGGAAAGGTATGACATATACTTGCGCTTCCCAAAACTTTTATTGTGGCAAAAGGCAACTTCAAGATAAAGGTACAAAATTCTACAGTCAAGTCCAAGTTGGGACTGAGTCCAAGTTTCAAGATAACACTATGTTTTTTTCATCTCAAAGTCAAGACAAGCAGTCAAATATCTATTTATATAGTGAAACAGTCGGGACCAAAGAATAGGTTCAAGATATCAGAACATTCGAGATAACGGGGTTTGAGATACGGAGGTCTGACTGTGTTTCAATTTGTGTTTTAATAAACAATCACATAGGGCTGTTTGGTACTCATTTCACATCCTTACCTTGTCCGACACCTTCTGTAACTTTTTCTCCAGCAGCTTCTTCTCATCGTGGAGTTCCTTCAAACACAGAAGATAATACATGCAATACTTCTAACCAATAGGAATCATCAAAACTTCAGTACAGTCAGTGAAGGAATGTTGTTTAATGTCTCTGTCAGCAGTATCACAGCAGCCTTAAAATCCAGCCTGAATCAGGCAAACGGGTGATCGAAAGGATCAGCAAGGACTAACGCCATTGGGTTGGATGACACAAAATAGTCCAAGTCATCGAGAGTGACCACCCAGGCACCATTTAAGTCAACTCATGAGGCATTCTGTAGGGGAAACCCCACAGGGATCAAATGTCTGATGGGGTTGTCAACAGGTTTGGCAATTGCTGCAAGGCAGGGGTTGGTTGGTTGGTTGTTTAACGCCGCACTCAGCAATATTCCAGCTTTATGACGGTGGTCTGTAAATAATCGAGTCTGGACCAGACAATCCAGTGATTAATCTCATGCATCAACCAAGTCAGCGAGCCTGACCACCTGATCCCATTAGTGGCCTTTTACGACAAGCATAGTTACCTTTTACGGCAAGCATGGGTTGCTGAAGACCTACTCTACCCCGGAATCTGCAAGGCAGGGGACAGGAGAGTGGTGAGCGTGAAGCAAACACTGAATTATCCTCCACCCATGACAGTGATTTATACTTGGCCATCTACACAGCTACATATCACCATGGTTCTGATGCCCTGTACTGTGTCTAGTGCTGACTACTGATTGCAAAGTGCTAAATGTTCTATGGAGTCTACCGCCAGCTCATGCTGTACCTTGTCCTCCCTGTGTTTGGAAGGTCTCGAGTCCTGGATGTGTTCCTTGAGAGAGTTCACCTTTTCCTGGAGCTCGGACTTTTCACGTGTCATATTGCTCAAGTCAACCTGTAACAGTGAGTGAGTGAGTGAGTGAGTGAGTGAGTGAGTGAGTGAGTGAGTGAGTGAGTGAGTGAGTGAGTGAGTGAGTGAGTGAGTGAGTGAGTGAGTGAGTGAGTGAGTGAGTGAGTGAGTGAGTGAGTGAGTGAGTGAGTGAGTGAGTGAGTGAGTGAGTGAGTGAGTGAGTGAGTGAGTGAGTGAGTGAGTGAGTGAGTGAGTGAGTGAGTGAGTGAGTGAGTGAGTGAGTGAGTGAGTGAGTGAGTGAGTGAGTGAGTGAGTGAGTGAGTGAGTGAGTGAGTGAGTGAGTGAGTGAGTGAGTGAGTGAGTGAGTGAGTGAGTGAGTGAGTGAGTGAGTGAGTGAGTGAGTGAGTGAGTGTGTGTGTGTGTGTGTGTGTGAGTGAGTGAGTGAGTGAGTGAGTGTGTGTGTGTGTGTGTGTGTGTGTGTGTGTGTGTGTGTGTGTGTGTGTGTGTGTGTGTGTGTGTGTGTGTGTGTGTGTGTGTGTCACACCGGCAATATTTCAGCCATATCGTCACAAAACAGTTATATTAAATCCTCTTAGATTGAATAAAAACCTGTCAACAATGGACAGTATAATAACTAGAGTATCACAGTTTCCATTATAAACTAGTTGAGAAAGTGTCTGTATGGACTTTTCAGGAGCATTCAACAATAGCTCTACTTTCATATTAGTGTTTGTATATGACAAATCCAGTGATTCTTACAAGATGGTGTCCCATTCAAGTCTCTCATATTGACAACCTTATCAACATCTAGATGCATCTGTGGAAAGTACCACCCAAAAACGTCAAAGGAGGACACCATGGGACTTCTATAACCACAACAGGTTACAGAAGTAAGTATATTAAACATCAGAAAAGTGATGTAGAGGTAGCTCTCCAAGAAGGTAATCAAAGTACCAGCCATTTTATCTTCAGGAGCAATGCCGGGACTTTTTCTAAGACACAAACTACTTCTTTGTCATACTTCAAATAAGATACAGTGAACTACGGATATAACAAACTCAAATGGACCACTAATAACCATAGTTCATAATAAGCATACACAGCATATATATGGAAGGGATCAAAACAAGTTTGTTATCTGTGTCAGTTCGTTATGAGTATGTTCATTATAAACATAGTTTACTGCATTACATTTAGCTTTCTTAGTGACGTTTTATTTTATTTTTGTAACCTGCTTCTTTCCACAAGAATAATCATAAAGTCCATTTTAAGGGGACATCTTCATCCTGTCACACCAGGGCTCAGAAAGGGGTTAAATGTTGCTCAGACAACTTTCAAGGACAACACACACTGAAGCTCACCTTCAACTTTTCAGTCTCTGTGCAAGCAGCATGTGAAAACTTGAGTTTCTCCTTCAGCTCTGTGACCTTTGACTGCAGCTGGTCCCGTTCCTTCAGCAGCTGTGTCTGGGTGCTCTGTACACAACAGGGAGAACATGGGACATGACAGAAGTGGGGTCTGGGTGCTCTGTACACAACAGGGAGAACATGGGGCATCACAGAAGTGGGGTCTGGGTGCTGTGAACACAACATGGAGAACATGGGGCATCACAGAAGTGGGGTCTGGGTGCTGTGAACACAACATGGAGAACATGGGGCATCACAGAAGTGGGGTCTGGGTGCTGTGAACACAACATGGAGAACATGGGATATCACAGGAGTGGGGTCTGGGTGCTCTGTACACAACAGGGAGAACATGGCACATCACAGAAGAGGTGTCTGGGTGCTCTGTACACAACAGGGAGAACATGGGGCATCACAGAAGTGGGGTCTGGGTGCTCTGTACACAACAGGGAGAACATGGGACATGACAGAAGTGGGGTCTGGGTGCTCTGTACACAACATGGGGCATCACAGAAGTGGGGTCTGGGTGCTCTGTACACAACAGGGAGAACATGGCACATCACAGAAGTGGGGTCTGGGTGCTCTGTACACAACAGGGAGAACATGGGACATGACAGAAGTGGGGTCTGGGTGCTATGTACACAACAGGGAGAACATGGGGCATCACAGAAGTGGGGTCTGGGTGCTATGTACACAACAGGGAGAACATGGGACATGACAGAATTGGGGTCTCGGTGCTGTGTACACAACATGTGGCATCACAGAAGTGGGGTCTGGGTGCTCTGTACACAACAGGGAGAACATGGGGCACCACAGAAGTGGGGTCTGGGTGCTCTGTACACAACAGGGAGAACATGGGACATGACAGAAGTGGGGTCTGGGTGCTGTAAACAACATGTGGCATCACAGAAGTGGGGTCTGGGTGCTCTGTACACAACAGGGAGAACATGGGGCACCACAGAAGTGGGGTCTGGGTGCTCTGTACACAACAGGGAGAACATGGGACATGACAGAAGTGGGGTCTGGGTGCTGTAAACAACATGTGGCATCACAGAAGTGGGATCTGGGTGCTCTGTACACAACAGGGAGAACATGGGACAAGACAGAAGTGGGGTCTGGGTGCTCTGTACACAACAGGGAGAACATGGGACATGACAGAAGTGGGGTCTGGGTGCTCTGTACACAACAGGGAGAACATGGGACATGACAGAAGAGGTGTCTGGGTGCTGTGAACACAACATGTGGCATCACAGAAGTGGGGTCTGGGTGCTCTGTACACAACAGGGAGAACATGGGACATGACAAAAGTGGGGTCTGGGTGCTGTAAACAACATGTGGCATCACAGAAGTGGAGTCTGGGTGCTCTGTACACAACAGGGAGAACATGGGGCACCACAGAAGTGGGGTCTGGGTGCTCTGTACACAACAGGGAGAACATGGGACATGACAGAAGTGGGGTCTGGGTGCTCTGTACACAACAGGGAGAACATGGGACATGACAGAAGAGGTGTCTTGGTGATCTCTACACAACAGGGAGAACATGGGACATGACAGAAGTGGGATCTGGGTGCTCTGTACACAACATGGGGGATCACAGAAGTGGGATCTGGGTGCTCTGTACACAACAGGGAGAACATGGGACATGACAGAAGTGGGGTCTGGGTGCTCTGTACACAACATGGGGCATCACAGAAGTGGGGTCTGGGTGCTCTGTACGCAACAGGGAGAACATGGCACATCACAGAAGTGGGGTCTGGGTGATCTCTACACAACAGGGAGAACATGGGATATCACAGGAGTGGGGTCTGGGTGCTCTGTACACAACAGGGAGAACATGGCACATCACAGAAGAGGGGTCTGGGTGCTCTGTACACAACAGGGAGAACATGGGGCATCACAGAAGAGGGGTCTGGGTGCTCTGTACACAACAGGGAGAACATGGCACATCACAGAAGTGGGGTCTGGGTGCTCTGTACACAACATGGGGGATCACAGAAGTGGGGTCTGGGTGCTCCGTACACAACAGGGAGAACATGGCACATCACAGAAGTGGGGTCTGGGTGCTCTGTACACAACAGGGAGAACATGGGGCATCACAGAAGTGGGGTCTGGGTGCTCCGTACACAACAGGGAGAACATGGCACATCACAGAAGTGGGGTCTGGGTGCTCCGTACACAACAGGGAGAACATGGGGCATCACAGAAGTGGGGTCTGGGTGCTCTGTACACAACAGGGAGAACATGGCACATCACAGAAGTGGGGTCTGGGTGCTCTGTACACAACAGGGAGAACATGGCACATCACAGAAGTGGGGTCTGGGTGATCTCTACACAACAGGGAGAACATGGCACATCACAGAAGTGGGGTCTGGGTGCTCTGTACACAACAGCGAGAACATGGGGCATCACAGGAGTGGGGGTCTGGGTGCTGTGAACAACATGTGGCATTACAGAAGTGGGGAAATTGCCGGGAATAAGTGTTATTTTCCTTTCTACTGCATTTTGCAATATAACAATGCAACCACAGTGGCCTATAAATAATCCAGTCTGTTCTGGCAAATCAGTGGTTGCTAGGGTGATGCATACATGCCAATTACAGTTCTATAGCACATACAACTATTATGACTGCCAATGTAATGCTCATTAAGTCAGTTTTCATCATGTTTTCTGGAGAGAATATTGTATCAAGCATTTGGTACCCTATACTCCTGCTAACACCACTTTTTTTCATAGTGATGCTGTAATGTTTCCTTAATTTGAGAAATGTGATTGATATTTAAAACTTCTGATTATCTGATCAGTTTAAAACATTCTCTAAAGTTGTGGTTTAATTTTTTCACTACTGTGTCACAACAGGAAATATTTAAAATTTACTGTCATCAGGCTTATTCATACTCACTCAGTGTTTTGCATTTTAGATCTTAATTTCAAATGATCAAGTGGTGTTTATAATGGGGTCTTGACACATGCATGACCACCAGCATTAACTTAGTTTCTGTATTGATACTCCCCCAAATTACTGGCAAGTCTTAACAGTGTTTAGAAACTGAACAAATGGGATTCACAATTACTCAACTTCAGATTCTTAAAGAGCTGGTGACTAAATACTGAAAGCACGGAAATGATCATGTCATATATTTTAACATGGATAAACTTCAGATTAGCTTTATTAACTTCAGATTCTTAAAGAATTTGCAGTGTTTTGTGAGGTTTTCCCACAAAGAAAGAAAGATAGACATCATATGTCAACACAGACACCAAATTTAGTTAATAATCTGTACAAGTGACAAAAAATAAGTGAAGAGTGAAAGTGTAATGACAATATATGTCTAAAACAAGGGCAAAAGTGAGCGTGGCTCACTAATACCCCCGCCCAGCCTAATGTGTCAAGCAGTCCATCACGCTCAACTTGCCCTGTGTGAGATGCCAAATGGAAGTCACTCTGTTTCATTAGAAAATGGATAGGGTTAGGGTTTGAAAATTCATAACAAAATGGAAAATAAATATAAACAATTTTTTTGACTGCACCCCTCCATATGACACAAATTATATGTAACTAAGTTTGAGATGAATCCACTGAATAGTTTAAGAGAAACTATGTGGACAAAGTTTTCGGACGGACAGACAGGACTCACAACTTCATCAACATATCACCAATCAAATGTCCATTCACATATAACCAAATCAGTTCACCTTTCATGGTCAAGAACTGGCATACTGCATACGTAGCCAACATCATTTTCTACCATCTATGAATGAGAGGCAAAACTTTGATTCGTCTGTAAACATTTTGACATGCCATTGGCACACAGCCCATCCCTGGTGTTACCTAACTCTTCCCAATTTATGGTAAGCTGTTAGGGTCACACCTTCAAAGAAAGCCATTGGCTGCATTGAGACGGTTTTTAATGGTAGATGTTGAAATTCACCTCCCTGTAATTGTACGGAATTCTCTATTGATAGGTTTCTGGTGTGCCCAAGGGATGCAACTCCGCACAGCGAATTGGAACGCATTTGACAACTGGGGCACTCGTGTCATTTAAAAGATATGAAATATACACACTTGTCAGTTTGACTAGGGTCATGTTTCAAGCCATGATCATGATGGTAAGAAACTGAATATATGCTGTAAGTCTCACCTCAAAGTTTTGTATCATGTTCATCCTTGCTTCCAGTGTTGCCACAGTGTGCTTGAGGTCCCTGATCTCGGCTTCACAGGACAGCTTGGCCTCACGACACTCCTCATACTTCATCTGACACACAAAACACGGAGACGATGAGTGAGTGAGTGAGTGAGTGAGTGAGTGAGTGAGTGAGTATGGTTTTACGCCGCTTTTAGCAATATTCCAGCAATATCACGGCGGGGGACACCAGAAATGGGCTTCACACATTGTACCCATGTCGGGAATCGAACCCGGGTCTTCGGCGTGACGAGCGAACGCTTTAACCACTAGTCTACCCGACCGCCCCACGGAGACAATGAACGAGAGACAATCTCTGAGTAAGAGCCAGGATCTGGTCTGGAGCAGACATGGTCAGGCTGAAGTTCCAAGCATTGTTTTCTAAACCCACGAAGTATAGACACCAGGGCTGGGACGAGTCCAAATTTTCTACCCGTGTACCCACCCCCTTATTACCTGACCCTACCCAGGTACCCATTGTATGTCTTAAGAGATAGGTACAAAAAGTTCAGTTGGGAATAGTTTGACTGGCCCTGGACAAAATGTATTTAGATACACGTATAAAACAATCTGGTCATGCTTACACTGAAGTTGACTGAAGTTTTATCTTGATTCAAACATATAAAAGTCAGAACGAATGGGTGCATAGTCAGAAATAAATGCAAACATTAATGACTTGTAGTGTAACCATATAGTTCTAGATAATTTTTGTCATTAAACAATATATCACATGACTAAGCACGGGTCCGGGTAGTCCTGTGGGTACCCGGGTTCTTCTCAGTACCCACTAGACCCAAGTACCCGAGTTACCTGTCCCAGCCCTAATAGACACGCTCACATTCCTCATGGGAGACCGTTGGTCAACATCAGAATGAGGCCACTTGTACCAAGTTTTCTCCGTGACCTTTGGAAAGTCTAGGTGTATTAAGGCAAAGGTGTTGAAATAGCCTCAGCACTAAGAACACTTTGTACAAGTTGGCTCTGGATTTTTGTTTAGTTCTGCTTTCACTGAGAGTGTTGGGTAAAGCACGCTAATAACTATATTTCATCACTAAATGCTAACTGACTAAGCTGCTTGTGAAACAGACCATCAACATAAGGCGCCAAGCAGTAGAAAGGTCCAGGGTTCATAATCTGGGATGAAAATCCATGATCAGTGGATCCTGGTTTTGCAAAGGGATGCAACTCAGCATTGTGAACAGCATTACTTTGAGCTTCCAGTACTGCTTGTGTTCACAGCTATGGCACAACATGCATACAGGTTCCGTGACCCTGTTCTGTTCAGAATCTCCACAACAGTATTTACTAGTTAGTTATTAGGAAGTAGACAATATTGTTAGTAATACCAGTGATGATTCAAACTAACAATTTCATATTGAAAATTAACCATTGACATTTATGGCTAAAACAACTGATACTCCAAGTACGCAAACAATTATTTCCAGCAACAGTCTCCACAAAAACCCATTAGAAACTAACTACAATGTCCTCTTGTAGAGGATGTTGCATTCCTTGCTTTGCCACATACCTTGTAATCCAGAAGCTGACTTCTCTCTTGCTGGACCCTGGTCAGCTGGTCCTGAAGAGAGTCCATCTTGGACGTCATCTGTGTCATCTCTTCTTGCACCTTCTCCTGCAATGAGTGAGTGAGTGAGTGAGTTTGGTTTTACGCCGCTTTTAGCAATATTCCAGCCATATTACGGCGGGGGACACCAGAAATGGGCTTCACACATTGTACCCATGTTGGAAATAGAACCCGGGTCTTCGGCGGGACGAGCTAACGCTTTAACCACTAGGCTACCCGACGGCCCCCTTCTCCTGCAATGAAGGGCAGGTGAGTGAACCACTTACAAACCTATAGTAAGTAATCTCTTAGCAATATCACAATGGTCTTAAAGGTCTATCAAGCCTGAAAGAGATAGACCAGGGGCATGTACGCATTCTTCCCGAGTGGCCACCTGTTCCAGTACCATCCACACTTAACAACAGGTATGGGCAGCTTTTACAATTCAAAGATAATGATTTGGTTGGTTGGTTTGTTGTTTAACGCCGCACTCAGCAATATTCAAGCTATATGACGGCGGTCTGTAAATAATCGAGTCTGGACCAGACAATCCAGTGATTAATATCATGAGCATCGATCCACACAATTGGGATCGATGACATGCATCAACCAAGTCAGCGAGCCTGACCACCCGATCACTTTAGTCGCCTTTTACGACAAGCATAGTCGCCTTTTACGACAAGCATGGGTTGCTGGAGATCTATTCTACTCCGGATCTTCAAGGATCTATAATGAATTGATGAACATTGTTTCACTGCAAAGACAGTAATATTCCTGCTGTATTGACTGAAGGCTGTAAACACTAAAGTCTACACCAAGCGAACCGGTGGTTGATAGCATGAGCACATATAAGAGGGATCACACAATCCCCATTGTTGTCAAGTCTGACAAGAAGCATTGGGTAATGGGGATCAATTCTGACCTGTGTCCCCACAGGAACAAATCCTATTTCTGACCTTCTCTCTGGAGTGTGTCTGCTTCGCCGTCTCCACCACCTCTGCCTTCACAGCAGTCACAGCCATCTCCTGGTCAGACAGAAGCTCGTCGATCCTTCTCTCCAGGCTGCCCTGTGTTTCTGCCTTCTCCTGCTCCACATCGGTCAATCTGGCCTGGAGGCTGTCTCTCATGTCTTCAACCTACAGCAGCACCATGCATGTACTGTATAGCATGTGGTCCCCCACCCACAGCCTTCCACAAAATCATGTTCAAACCTATACAGCCTTTATTTACCCATCTTGTTCTATGGTCTTATTTATTTATCTGTTCTAACCCTTTTGGAAAGTGATTATTCACCAACTTTCAGATTATTTCATCCTGAACCGGAACCTTCTTCCATGTTATGGTAACATCCTCTCTTCTCGGAATACCTGCTCCATCCAGATTTACATGCACATACTTGGGCATACTCATCAATAACCAGGAATCAGTGAGCACAAATGGTGAGCCAGTGAGTGAGTGAGTTGAGTTTAACGCCGCTTTTAATAGTATTCAAGTCATATCGCAGCGTGTTAGCTTAATGTGGGATGAAAGCCCGAAGTGATGCAGGTCTCAGACGTTTACCACTTTGGTGAAACCCACGAGCACGGGTATGGTGCTGACAAACCTAGAAATATAATTGGGGCGAACCAGGATTCAAACCCACAATCATAGGTTTATGGCGTGCCCAAGGGACGCAACTCGGCACAGCGAATCGCGGCGCCTTAGACGACGGGTCCATGGTGAGCCATGTCTCTGCCCTGAAAGGCTACAAAACATTTACATCTGTTCTGAAGCAGACAATACATGTTGACGATGCATAATGTCACAGTAGTACAGCTATACTATTACAAAATTATGTATAGGACCTTCTGTTTCGACCTCCACTTCTTGACTAAACCTTTCATGTTGAGACATGCATAGGTACTTAAACAGTACACTATCATTGGTTGCAATTCATAAAAAGCAACTACTTTAGTCCAATGAGAATGAGAGCCTACCTGTTTCAGCTGGTCCTGCAGACAGCTGACTGTGGACTGGAGTCGTTCCTCAACTTGCTTCCCTCGCTCCTGCTCCGCCTTCAGTTCCACCTGCAGCTCAGTTATCTCCCCTTCCAGCATCCGGCTCTTCTGATCCAGGACTTTGCGTTCATCACCAAATGTGTCCTGTAGTTCCTCGATCTGGCGGACAAAGTCAGTCTGAAAATGGGTAAGAGTGAGTGAGTGAGTGAGTTTTGGTTTTACGTCACTTTTAGCAATATTCCAGCAATGTAAAGAGGTATGTAAAGTAGAGTTTGGTTGTTCTGACACTGAGACATTGCAGAAAGATAGTTAACATGCCTGCACTGTCTGTGTCCGTCGATCAAAGTCCATCAATGCCCATCTGTGCCTGATTGTGCATACATATGTACATGTCTGTCTAATCCTATCTGTTCTCGTCTGGACCTGTATATGCCACTTGTGTCTGTCTGCGCCTATAAGGGCCAGTATATGCCTGTTGTGTCTGTCTGCGCCTATAGGAGCCAGTATATGCCTGTTGTGTCTGTCTGCACCTATAGGAGCCAGTATATGCCTCTTGTGTCTGTCTGCGCCTATAAGGGCTAGTATATGCCTGTTGTGTCTGTCTGCGCCTAAAAGGGCCTGTATACGCCTGTTGTTCCTGTCTGCGCCTATAAGGGCCAGAATACGCCTGTTGTGTCTGCCTGCACCTATAGAAGCCTGTATACGCCTATTGTGTCTTTCAGCACCTATAAGGGCCTGCATATGCCTGTTGTCTGTCTGCGCCTATAGGAGCCTGTATACACCTGTTGTGTCTGTCTGTGCCTATAAAAGCCTGTATACACCTGTTGTGTCTGTCTGCGCCTATAAGGGCCAGTATATGCCTGTTGTGTCTGTCTGCGCCTATAGGAGCCTGTATACACCTGTTGTGTCTGTCTGCACCTATAAGGGCCAGTATACGCCCCTTGTGTCTGTCTGTGCCTACAAGAGCCTGTATATGCCTGTTGTGTCTGTTTGCACCTATAAGAGCCTGTATATGCTTGTTGTGTCTGTCAGCGCCTATGAGGGCCAGTATATGCCTTTTTTTGTCTGTCTGTGCCTATAAGGGCCTGTATATGCCTCTTGTGTCTGTCTGCGCCTATAAGGGCCGGTACATGCCACTTGTGTCTGTCTCCACCTATAAGGGCCAGTATATGCCTTTTTTGTCAGTCAGTGCCTATAAGGGCCTGTATATGCCTGTTGTGTCTGTCTGTGCCTATAAGAGCCTGTATATGCTTCTTGTGTCTGTCTGTGCCTATAAGAGCCTGTATACACCTGTTGTGTCTGTCTGTGCCTATAAGGGCCTGTATATGCCTCTTGTGTCTGTCTGCGCCTATAAGAGCCTGTATACACCTGTTGTGTCTGTCTGTGCCTATAAAAGCCTGTATACACCTGTTGTGTCTGTCTGTGCCTATAAGGGCCTGTATATGCCTGTTGTCCCTGTCTGCGCCTATAAGACCCTGTATACACCTCTTGTGTCTGTCTGTGCCTATAAGGGCCTGTATATGCCTCTTGTGTCTGTCTGCCCCTATAAGAGCCTGTATACACCTGTTGTGTCTGTCTGTGCCTATAAGGGCCTGTATATGCCTCTTGTGTCTGCCTGTGCCTATAAGAGCCTGTATACACCTGTTGTGTCTGTCTGTGCCTATAAAAGCCTGTATACACCTGTTGTGTCTGTCTGTGCCTATAAGGGCCTGTATATGCCTGTTGTCCCTGTCTGCGCCTATAAGAGCCTGTATACACCTCTTGTGTCTGTCTGTGCCTATAAGGGCCTGTATATGCCTCTTGTGTCTGTCTGCACCTATAAGAGCCTGTATACACCTGTTGTGTCTGTCTGTGCCTATAAGGGCCTGTATATGCCTGTTGTCCCTGTCTGCGCCTATAAGAGCCTGTATACACCTCTTGTGTCTGTCTCCACCTATAAGGGCCAGTATATGCCTCTTGTGTCTGTCTGCACCTAAAAGAGCCTGTATATGCCCCTTGTGTCTGTCAGCGCCTATAAGGGCCTGTATATGCCTCTTGTGTCTGTCAGCGCCTATAAGAGCCTGTATACACCTGTTGTGTCTGTCTGTGCCTATAAGAGCCTGTATACACCTGTTGTGTCTGTCTGCACCTATAAGGGCCAGTACATGCCCCTTGTGTCTGTCTGAACCTAAAAGAGCCTGTATATGCCCCTTGTGTCTGTCAGCGCCTATAAGGACCTGTATATGCCCCTTGTGTCTGTCAGCGCCTATAAGGGCCTGTATATGCCTGTTGTGTCTGTCTAGGCCTATAAGGGCCTGTATATGCCCCTTGTGTCTGTCAGCGCCTATAAGGGCCTGTATAAGCCTGTTGTGTCTGTCAGCGCCTATAAGGGCCTGTATATGCCCCTTGTGTCTGTCAGCGCCTATACAAGCCTGTATATGCCTCTTGTGTCTGTCAGCGCCTATAAGGGCCTGTATATGCCTCTTGTGTCTGTCAGCGCCTATAAGAGCCTGTATATGCCTGTTGTGTCTGTCAGCGCCTATAAGGGCCTGTATATGCCCCTTGTGTCTGTCAGCGCCTATACAAGCCTGTATATGCCTCTTGTGTCTGTTAGCACCTATAAGAGCCTGTATACACCTGTTGTGTCTGTCTGCGCCTATAAGGGCCTGTATATGCCTCTTGTGTCTGTCTGCGCCTATAAGGGCCTGTATATGCCTCTTGTGTCTATCAGCGCCTATAAGGGCCTGTATATGCCTGTTGTGTCTGTCTGCGCCTATAAAGGCCTTTAATGCCTCTTGTGTCTGTTAACACCTATAAAGGCCTGTATACGCATGTTGTGTCTGTCTGCACCTATATGGGCCTGTCCAGGCCGACCTGTATATGTTTGTTGTGTGTACCTGCAGCTCCTCCCTCAAGTCCTGCTCTCTCTCCAGCTGGTCCTGCTGATGCAGCTGCTCAAGCTGGCTCTTCTCCACCTCCAGCTTCTGCCTGATCACAGTCATCTGCTTCTGCATGTCAAGGATCTCATCTTGGTACTTCTCTATCAGAGCAGTCTTTTCTTCCTCATATGATGAGCCTTGAGAAACATCAACAACAGTTCTAGATAACTGTATAACTACCCTCCATAACCTTCATGAGTCCAACAAAGACAACATAGAAAATGTATGCTTAGGAACAATATCCATATAGACTGAGTGAGTGAGTGAGTATGATTTAACGCAACTTTTAGCAATATTCCCGCAATATAATTGCAGGGGATTCAAGAAATGGGCTCCAGACATTGTACCCAGGCCATGGACAGAAGGTATATAACATGAGTGAACAGGACAATTAGGTCAACTTGCAATACCTAAGCTCTGTGTCAAAGTATTGTGAAAATGTTTAATATTTTATCACCTCAATCTGTCAACACACAAACACATTACTTACACAATTTGTCCTTTTGTCGATCAAAGTCCTGCTTAAGCTGCTGCTCCCTGGCCTGATGCTGAGCACTGAGGGTCTCCACTGACATCCGATCTCTCTGAACGTCTCCCTCCTGCATCTTGAGCTGGTTCACAAGGGCAGAGTGTTCCGTCTCCATCTCTCTCTGCCTCTGCAGCAGTTTCTCCTTCTCAACCCGCACCTCATCCTTTTGGGTTTGAAGGTCCTCCAGCAGTGAAGCCTTATCACTGTCCAACTCTTGTCTTCTTTCATCCAGGTTCTCCTGGTCTGCCTTAAGGGCTTCCCTCTGAGTCTGGAACTCCTTCAGAACACATGCATGTTCCTGTTCAAAGTCTCTCTGTCTCTGGAGAAGATCATCCTTCTCATCACTTAACTTCTGTCTTTGTCCTTGTACCTCCTTGAGGGAAGAGGAATATTCCTTTTCAATGTCTCTTTGCCTCACTAACAGGTTATCCTGCTCCTCTTTCAGCAGGCTTCTCTCCTTATTCAGATTATTCAGAGTTTGCTCTTTCTCAGATTCCAACTCTACCTTCTGTTGTTGTAAGTGAAGCATTGATGCCTCAATTTCTCTTTCCTTCACTTGCATCTTTTCCATTTGTTTCTCCCACCCTGACTCAAACTCCACCTTCCTTTCATTGAGAAGGGCTTCTTCTGCTTCTAAAGCAACCAACCTCTTTTGCACATTTGAATTCAGACTGTCCTGTTCCTGATTGAGATTATCTTCATATTGAGCCTTTATTTGTTCAAATTCAACTTTCCTCTCCTCGAGAAGATCACGTTCTGCTTGCAGCTCCTGCTCTCTCTGATGGACCTCCTCTTCAAGCCTTTCTTTTTCTTCCTCCAACTCTTCCTGTTTCTTTCCTACATCCTGCAGCCTTCTCTCCAGATCTTGTCGCTTCGTCTCAAGATCAACTTCAAGCTTCTGTTTAACATCCTCAAAGTCCTGCCTCCTTTTCTTCATCTCGTCTGAAGCTTGCTCACAGAGAGTTTCTTGACGATCTAACTCATCAAGGATATTATGACTCTCGAGATCAAAATCGGCCTTCCTTTTTTCAAGTGCTTCACTGTCCTCCTCCAGCGCTAGTCTCTTCTGTTCCAGTTCCTCAAGTACTCGTCTTTTCTCACTTTCATACTCACCCTCTCTCTGTTCCATGTGTTCCATCTTGAATCTCCATTCTGCCTCCAACTCACTCCGATGTTTACTCAGCTCCTCATACATGGCAGCCCTTTCTGCTGCTGTGGCTTCCTTCTGCCCCTGCTCAACCAGCGCATCAAAGTCCTCCTTTAATTTGCCTTGCAAACCACTCACTCCCTGAATGAATGAATGAAAGAATGAATGAAAGAATGAATGAATGAATGAATGAATGAATGAATGAATGAATGAATGAATGAATGAATGAATGAATGAATGAATGAATGAATGAATGAATGAATGAATGAATGAATGAATGGAGGGAGGGAGGGAGGGAGGGAAGGAAGAAATAGGTGACTGGGTGGATGGGATGGTGAGCAATGGAAGTATGACCAAGGATGAAAAACCTATTAGAATTTTCATACTATATTTAAGGTATGTTAGTCACAATATACAAGTCATAAACATTAATACTGGTACAGATTTTCATAGAAGAGTTTTCATATGCCATCTTACAGTCACATCTAGCTGATGCTGAACAGCACATGTCAGAATATCAATTTCTTGAGTGTCTATTGAGTATTTAGGGGCCAGTTCTTTCTAGCACTATCTGGCCCTGCGTGCCAGTGGATTACTTTTTCATACTGTGCCTCTTTCATGTCAGACTAATGTCTCCAAGAATGACGCATTGGAAATAACAATAAATGAAGGAACCTCACAAATCTCATCCTCATATCATTTACATATTAAGACAGAAAGATAAGGGTGGTATCATTTTCAACAAGCACTTCACCATTGAATCAACACTATAGCATCATTGTTTGCACAAGATCCTGGTCTGGCCATGCCTACACTAAGATGCTTTTTGTCCTATTTCCACCAACCTGTTCCAACATATTCTCATAGTCCAGCTGCTCCAGCTTGAGCCTCGTCTCCAGTTCCTTCATCTGCAGCTGGTGCTTCTGCTCCAGCTCATCCCTCTGACGATCACAATCCGACTCAATCTCTTCCTGCTGCAACTTCAACTTAAGGTCAAGGTCAGCAACTTTCTGTTCAAGGTCATGGACATCCTGTGCCGATGTACTCAGCAGGGTTGAATTCTCCTTCGAATGATCATCTCGGGACCTCCCCGATTCCTGCTGAAGTCTCTGCTGGTGCTCTGCTTGCAAGCTGAAACAGTGCAACTTCAAAATAACATGTACTCATGTCATTTGATGGAGTTGCCAACAATGCCAGTGATGTAGGTGTTCAGAGAGATCTGAACCAAATAAATGGCTATAATAAAGTTCTAAGCTGACTATGTTGGTGGTTCAAGGGCGACGACTACGGCCAACAAAACACTAAAAGATATAGTCATAATTCTTCAAGCACACAGACATTGTTGTTTTTATCAACAGTAACAGAAAGAAGTCTGCAAAGCTGCTTTTGGTGGACATACTTCATGCAAAAATTCAGTTCTCTGGTAACTAGGCTTCTCAGAAAAAATTGTTTTTGACTGTTCCCAAACATTTTAGAAATATAACAATTCCAATTTGTTTTACCACAAAGAAACTTCAACCACCATGTGTATAGAAACATCTACAAAACATTACAACTATACCAATCAAGTGCTTCTCAAGAAAAAGTCAAAACTGAAAAAAGAAACAATGATCAGACACCTTTGACCCAGGAAAGCACAACCCAACCATTTCAACATTACTGGTTAATGTTACAAAAACCACAAATTTTTCATAATGGTGTAACACACGAGATATTGCATCACACCTTCTCTCACAATCCGTCTGAAATCAGGCCCTTGAGGTAGCACATTAAGCCTCACCGGTGGGTCAGCTTTTCCCTGTCCCGAGCCTGAGCCTGCCTCAGTAGCTCCTTCTCCTCCTCATGCTTCTCATAGTCCTTCTCCCTCAGAGCCTCGGCCTCCTCCCGCTCGGTCTTCAGTCGCCTTTCAAGGTCAGTACACATCTTCTCAAGGTCACGAATACCAGTGCGATCTATGCCACGATTTTCTTCCAATCTCGATATCTCTTTGGTGAAATTCTCTTTGATTTTACCAACACGTAACTCAAGGTCCTTTTCATATTCTTCCTTCAACCTAACAATTAACATAGATTATGGTTGAGCTTATCAAAAGTTTCGAAAACCTATTATTAACACTGCAAACACGATAACGTCGTTTTTTTCCGTATATGGTCATTAGACGGAAAAACGACTAAAAATTCATTAAAATTGATTAATTGGTGAGCGTCTTGAAAGTGTGCAGAAAAGGGTCGAGTTTTTCAAGCGTAAAATGGACGGAAGAACGATGCTTTTTGCTCCGCCTTGTACACCTGTTAATGGCCAATCAGCTGGCGCTGGTCCCCCGACGCACGTGATTCCCAAGGCTTCCTTTTGAAAGCTTTAGGTTTCGTATTTCTGGCATGCCTTGGTCTAGTATCTGTCGCGCGCAGTGCAGCGAGATTTGCTGATAAGCCAGTTTTAGGATATGTAACATGTTAATGGAATTCAGGCACGCGCCAAGAAGTCAAACCAAACAATGTTACCAAGTTTATTGTGGTAACATATCCCTCGGCTATGAACAGTTACCCCTATCGAATAATGGTTTGTGTTTCATTTGGTTAAAATAATAACTAATTTTTTAATGTGAAGTTTACAAGATATACGACTAGGACGAGAGGTCGGTCACATGACGTTCTTCACGTGACTGCATTCTTGAAATGGCGTAAACACTTGGAATTCCCTGGAATTCCCTGGTACGAATTCATACAGAAGCTCGGTTGCATGCCCGTTTAAGGATACCCTCGCTACAACCCATCCCAAACTATCGTAGTGACAATCTACAGCAATCTATGAATTTAACTTAGTATCTATTTGACACATCTTTACAATCACCTTTCAACGATCGGCCAATTGATCAGTGATGACAAAGGCTTGAAATAGCCACAGGTTAATTAACAACTTCGGAAATATCTCCCGTCACGTTTATCGTGTCGGCCATTTTGACGTATTGTACTTGATGTAAATGTATTACGACGCTCTGTCATTGTAATTGACTTACTGAGGTAATTCTCATCTAATGAGGATATTGTTTGGAATATATTTCTTGTAAACACACTAAAACATGGGGGGGGGGCGGGGAACTATTTTATTTCGGGATGGCCTATTAAAGTTAGCAATAAGTCAAGGCACCATGCGTGTATATGATCTGTTATTATATGTGTTTAAATTATGGTTTTGGGCGTTAATAAAATACACTGATGCAGTATTTAAATCAATTGGATAATTGAATATGCTTTCTTTTACATATTACATAACAGCACTGCACACCATTTGAACAGTTGCAGTAACACACTACGGTAATTGCATTAAACACCATTTTCAACTGTACAGTATTTCAGTATTTCAGTTATATCACAGTGTACAGACAGATGTGGGATTAAAATCCGAATTGGTTCAGGCCATCCAACGGGTGTTCGGGAAAAGGTGAGAGTATCCTGCCACACAAGTGGCACCCGTCACAAACACATGCAAGGACAAGTCAATTGTTCATCTGAAACACACAGTGATGTCCGTCCTCACTTTTACCGAGCATGTAAATTATATTGTCCGTCAAAAACATGGACGAGTATAAACAATATGTTCATTCACGTAATACATGTCATACATTTTGACAAAATGTATTGACTCGGAGCATTATTGTTAATCACAGCGTATAGACTCGGCATGCAGTTAAACTCATCACCCATCCCATTATTGATAATCCTTCTTGAAGATCTATGAAATCAGAAGCTGCAACACTTTATCTTTTAATTGGCATGTCAGACTTCTATTTCATAACTGTTTTATTTGCAGGGATCACGGAAGGGACATTGTCGCGTTGTCGCATTGTCGCCCTTACAAAAACAAGCAAAACGTGTCAAAATTAACAAAAACGCAACAATTGGCCATTTGTCGCATTGTTGTGTGTTTGCATTGTCGCTCTTTGAATAATCCTTTTCTTTATTTTACAAAAGGGCGACGATGCCGTAACGCGACATTTTCAAGGTCAAAATATGTCTCGTTGTCGCATTGTCGCCCCATCACAAATGTGTATAAAAGGCGTAAAGTTTAATTAATGCTACAGTTAGGAAGAGGTAACCAAGTTACATCTGTTGTAGAAGTTCAACCTCATACATGTAAGTCTTGACATGAAAACACAAGTCCGTCGCGAGTCCATAACGTTTTATTGTGAGCTCTTCTCTAAAAGTGCTTAGTGTTTGACTCCCAGTTCCAAACACGTAGTACCTCATCAACAATCCACATACCTCTAGTGCAGTGGTCTTCCGGAAGATCTTACTCTTGACCGCATTAGACAACTGACGAGTGCACGCCTGACCTGTGACCTCGTTGCAACCCTCATGAGGTGTTTGCCGAAGGGAGAGGGGTAGGAAATGTGTGCTCCAGCCCAGCGCAGAGCTCGCGACACACTGTATACTGAATGTTGTATACAGTATATTGCAGTTGATATACTGTATACTGCATGTGATACTTATTAGCGGAAATGTTACAACTTTCAAGATTCAAGATTCAATTTGCATTTATTTCATATACAACAGACCGCTGTCATATATCACTGGAATACTGCTGAGAGCGGCGTTAAAACAATTTGTTTTCATAATGGAGCGCTGCAGTCATTTAAAATAAAACCGTAAACATATTTAGTACCAACTCACTCACTCTATTTCGAATAATCAGCAGAAAATATATTATTAACCAGGTCTTTGGGAAGAGATATCAGATTTTTATAAGCAGTCACATAGGGATGATAAAGGACCCCTCGCTGATTAGGTTCTTGTTTACTTAAGAGCAGAGTTGGCCATGTTAGATGATATAACCAAAATCCAGGAGCTCAGGCAGGGGGCAATCTGGTCTTGTTAGTGTATGGTATGAGCTGTGGCGTTGACCCAAGAGAATAATGTAAAAAATGAGACCAACTCAAATCTATAACGATTGGGAAAGTCTAGATTTCCACAGCCCTAGCCTGAAATTAAGAATTGGTCTAGGCTCCATTTTAATTGTATTATGTTCATTTTGTAGACATGGATGGACCAACCAGGAGAAAAATTGATGGAATATTAATATCACATGTTACCACTGATCCATTTAAATTCATCACACAATAATATATTAGTATCTGACATTACGGCATTTGATTATTAGGGCATGATCATGTACATGTTCACTGTAGTAATGTACACACCAGTCAACTTGATTATAATTTTTATTATAGTGTAGCACGGCATCAACGATTACTTTATGATATCCTCACTTGTCATCGATGTATTGACATCGAACAATGGACGACAATTCAAAATTCTTATAAATAGCTTCAATAGGGACAGCGCCGGTGTCAGTACAATTTTCCTAGTTAAAAATATGTCTCTACAAAATATAATCTGAAGCAGACAAGAACAATATTTTTTTATTAATGCTTACTTTCATGGATAGAATTGAGGCAATCTAGGCTTGCCAAATCGTTCTAGACTTGAACTGGATTCCTTTTAAATTTATTCTCTATGGTCTGGGAGACGAACGGGCGTCAGTATCACATGGAGAACTGGGACAGCCTGAATCAGTGTAATCGGATATGTTGTGGAGTTTCGGTTTGGGGCTGTTTGCTGAATAGAACAAGGGCTCACGAACAAGGGCACAATGTAGAGATTAAATCATTACCACCTCTCTTTATATCAGATATGTTATTGTGATTTGAAATCTCTTTAGGATAATTGTGAGTTATGTATACTCTGTATTCTTTCGTCATGGTAGCATATATATTATCTATGTTGCTTTTTGAATTATCCACAAATAATGATAACTACAATGTAAACCTCTCTTTTGAGATATACAATAATACTACTGAAGGGCATATCTGAAAAATGGGACTTATCGACAAATATTTCTTTCTTAAACACTACCTGTTACAGGCATTCTGATCATTATATTATACTTTGTACAGTTTAAAAGTCAAATAATGGCAAATTGTGTATCTTTCAACATTTTGAATTAATTATAATTTCTGCAATAAAACCTTAGCATCAGATAGTGATATAAACGAATATGATCTATACTGTGATAAATGAATTATCAATTTCGTATTATGAATTAGATAAACAGAAATATGATAGTAAAACAAATTATTTTAATCTGTTCGTGTGAGTAGGTAACGAGAGATCTAGGCAACTCATTAACGTATCCATTTGTGAAAAATGAAATAATAAAAGTTTAGGGGGTTGAACATGTACATTGAATGACAGGGAAGAAAGCAACGCAATAATCAAATTATGAATCAAATTACGTTATAAATATAACAGAATATATAGAAATATAAGTTTAATTTCTCATTGTTGGAAGGTGTTTAATAATAGATTTTGTTTGTTTGTTGTTTAACGCCACACTCAGCAACATACCAGCTATATGATGGTGGTTCGTAAATAATCCAGTCTGGACCAGACAATCCAGTTATCATCACCAAGAGCACCAATCTACATGCATCAACCAAGTCAGCTAGCCTAACCACCCGATCATGTTAGTCGCCTTCGAACAAGCATGGGTTGTTGAAGGCCTATTCTAACCCGGATCTTCACAGATAATGTTTTTAATAATAAGGTACAATGAAATTCTGTATATGTCCATAATAAGTGTGTATAAGTAAATGGATAATATATCCATACAAGCCAATTAAATGGCTGCATATGGTTCTTTGATGAACTCTTTTACAAGTCCATATTTCAAGACATGTATTTGATATTCATAATAAATCCACAAAAGCTACACAATGGCGACAAAACGGTACCAGCATCACAGATACCAATAATACATGAGATCCATATAATTACTTTAAAGTTAAAACATTTATCTAAATAGAAAATTGGAAGGATACACTTCCGACATTTTTCGTATTTTGTTTTCGTTTGGAGAGAGAAGTTGTGATTGGTATCTGATGGGTGCAAACAGGTGTTCCCTTCCGCCCAGGCCTTACGGCAATGCTATAGCCAAAAAGGAAACAAGCCTAGATGTTCAACAGGTTTGGCTGAAATTTCCATCCCACTTGGGCTC